GGGAAGAGAGAGCTGCATGTTCAAGAGAGACATCCTAAGTCTCATCACGACGTTCTCCTGCTCAGCATCCCTCATTTCCCATCCACTGAGAGTCATAGCAAGAGTCCTAACAATGACCAGGAAAGGCCGTACAGGTTGCCCTGGGGGCCTCCTGTGCTCCAGCCATCGTCCTTGCAGTCCGCCCTAGTCACATGGCCTCCCCCTTGACACCTGCCTGGTTCAAGCCTGGCTTCTTCTGGGTCTGCAATGAGAGGGCACCTTCCCGGCAAGGTCCTCTCTTGCCATTCTTCCCCGACATTCTCTCTCCCTTTCCTCATCCTTTCCTCATTTTATGTTCTCCCTATCCACTACTACCGGCCAACATCCAATGTACTTTGTTCAGTTCTTTTGTTTGTTTGTTTATTGTCTGTCTCCTTCAAGAACGAAGTTCACAGGGCAGAATTTTCATGTCAGTTTACTACTATATTCCTGGTGCCTGGAACAGCACTTGGCATACTGTGGTTGTTCAACAAATATGTGTGGAATGACTGAAGTTAAAGACTGAGGAAGGAGATACAAAACGAAGGCTTCTGGAGTGTATCTGAGAGGCCAGGAGAAGCCCTGTGCATTTTAAACGAGCAGGAGCGTGAGGTAACCAGTTCGTGTTTTCCAGCCTCGCAGCCCTGCGAGTGACAACAACGGTGTCACGACGGTGGCAGAGGGGCAGCAGGGAGAGATTGCGTGCAGGGGATTCCATCGGGAGATCACTGCTCAGACAGGCAGCAGCTTGACACGGGCAGTGGTGGGAAGGCAGAGGGAGAGGATTTGAGAGAGGACTGGAAGATGAAATGATCAGTGAAAATATATAACTGATCTCTGCATTAAAAAGGAAGCTGCTTTTACTTACATGCTTTCATTTCTCAGATGTGAGTATATCCGTATAAAATCAGATCTAATTTTCTTTCTTTTTTTTGGTTTGTTTTTCTTCTGGTACCAGGAATCGAACTCATGACCTTACGCTTGCCAGGCAGGCGCTGTGCCACTGAGCTAAATCCCCAGCCCCCCAGATCTAATTTTCATGCAAAGAATGGTTCAAAACCCTGGTGTGCAGAAGAGCAAGCTGGACTGCAATGCTGAGAATGCGAACAGGCCAGGCTGCTGCAGGGAGGGGACACGGAGCTTCTCTCTGGATCAGCGCCCACAGCTGTCACAGAGCTGGGGAGCAGCGCCCCTCCTCGGTTGGGTGCGGGAACCCCGCTGCATGACCTCCCTGGTGACTGCAGCATCACACTTCAGTATTTCTTCTTTGGTTTCAAGGCTCTTGTTCAGTTCAAGGCTATTTTTCTTTCCTTCCTTTCTGTCCATGCCTTTCATACCACCTGCTAACTAACCAACCAGGCCAGTGTCACAGTGACTGCGAAGCTGTCTGCCCGTCACCTGGTCACAGCCCATGCTCCACCTGACATCCGACTCTGATGCTCACTTCCAGCCTGATGTCCACGCCAGGCGGAAACACCCAGGAAGCTCTCAGAAAAGTAATCAATAAGCTCCCCGCTCCCCCACCTTTATTCTCACCTACCAGCCAAGGCCTTTTCTGTGTGACAGGGTGACAGAGGGCCAGCCTCGGGCTGGAAAAAACTCAGAAAAATACACCACCACTTAACCATTCCTGAAAAAAGAATTACCCGAAAATATACTGTAACCAGCTGAGCAACTACTATACCCAGTGTAGAAAGGAAGGAGGTCCTTGGTGGGTGGGGACTGGGAGTCTGTTCTAGGCTGGCACTGAGCACCAAATGCAAGTCAGGGGTGAGGCAGGGACAACCCTCGGTACACACTTGTGGAGCTGGCCACACCCACCGCCAGCAAAGATGTGGAGGAATGTCCTCTCCTCACCAGGAAAGCTCAATGAGCCTTTCTGTTCCTTGGACAGTTCTGCTCTATAAAGGTAACAATCCTCTAACTGCAATCCCTCTATAGAAGCTTCTCCCTTAAGAGGAGTTTTCTGTTACAACCACAAATCCAATTATACACGATTACAGCTAAGTTAAAAAAACAAAACCAAGCGAGGTGTGGTGGCAAATGCCCGTACTCCCAGCTATTTGGGAGGCGGAAGAAGGAGGATGGCAGATTCAAGCCCAGCCTGGGCAGCTCAGCAAGACCCTGTCTCACAATAAAAAGTAGAAAGGGCTGGGATACAGCTCAGGGCAAACACCTTGTGTTCAGCCCACAGTACCACAAAAGCAAAGTGCAGCAACGCAAGTGAAAATGCATCCATGGCCATGGAGCAGGCCTGGTTCTCCGTGGTGAGGGGCAGCTCACATCACCCCTCCTCCCTGACGCAATTCCTTGGCCACCACTGCCAGCTAGCTGGGGCTCAGTGCTTCCCTGTGGCAGTGCACCAGGTGCCTGAAACCGACTCTTGCACTGGGCGTGGTGGCCCCTACCTGTAATCCCAGCACTCGGGAGGCTGAGGCAGGAAGATCACTGTGAGATTGAGACCAGCCTGAGTTACATAGTGAGTTTAAGGCCAGCCTGGACTACATAGCAAGGCCCCGTCTCAAAAACAAAAAAACAAAAAAACCCAACTAGCCAGCCAACCAACCAAACAAAAAAGCCCCAGCGCTTGCCCACCTTTGCAGGTATGCCTCCAAGTTTCACCTCATTTGCCCTCTCCCTCGACCCCTCTGAGGCTCCTGGAACTGGCTCTGTCCTTGCCTTCTCATGTGCCAGGCTCCCCTGGGGTTTCCACTCCACTCCGTGCAGGGTCTGGTTCCCGTGCCTTGTCCACAAAGCCCCCTGGCTCCACCGTCACTCTGCACCAGGGCAGTTGTCCAAGCCCAGGGCATATCAGCAGTTGCTCACAGACGTCACTGTGCAATACACCGGGCTCGGACTCGGTTCAAACTCCTCTGCCATTCCTGGGATTCTCGGTGGAAGCCCTGCAAGGTCCCTGCTGTCTATAGGTACCTGAAGTAGGTACCCCTGGCCTCATTAAGAGAATTAGGGTTTGGGGCATACAGCGGTTAAGCTCAAGTGATCCACCTTTAGAAGGACTTCCTCTAAGGGACGGGGATATAGTTCAGTGGCACAAGCGCCTGCCTGGCAAGGGCAAGGTCCTCAGTTTGATTCCCAGTACCAAAAACAAAACAAAACGCAGAAGGACTTCCTCTAATAATAAAAGGTCACAAGAAAGGCTCTTTTCTTCCCGGAGTGGACACATGCTCTGCCTGACTGTAAGCTTTACATTTATTTATTTGCTCACTCCTCCCCCTCAGTCCCCTAGAACAGTGCCCTGCAAGACTGAGGATGTCTTAATTGTGCTATTTGCCAGGCTGAGCAAATGCTTGGCACAGTTCAAGCTGACTGATGAGAGGCTGAATGAGCGAATCTGAGTCTAAACTGAGAATGAGGCCCTTTTCTTTATGCTGAGACCCAGCCTGACAAAGCCTCTCCCTCTGAAGCGCACCTGCTGTCTTCTCTGAGGCCCCCACCCCTGCCCCTTTGTCTTGGCTTCTCCGTGTGACCCTGAGAAACAACAAGCGGCTTTGTGTGCCTGGAAGGAAAGGTTTACAGGAACCAAAACAACATTAGCCTTTAGCCCCACCCCCCTTGCATTTAACACACCCGTGACTTTAAACCTGGGGAAACCAGGAAGAAATTAGTTCAAAATGCAGACAATAAAAGGAGGTTCCTTCCCATCTTCAGCTCCCTGAGACTGGCACATTCTTCCCCTCGAGAAGCAATTCAAAAGCACCCATGCTGTGCTCCAGCCCCCGCCCCCCAGGGCTGCCCTTTCTTCTGTGCTGGTTGGCTGTTCAGAGTCTGCCCACTTATGTAAGCCTGGAGCCGCAGCCACCGCAGCATCAATAAAACTGACTTCCTCCGCATCTCCAAATGCCCGGTGCTGGGCCTATGGAGGCGGATTGTGTCGGCTTCATCTGCATGCCAGCCTGGCTCTCCTCGGGGGCTCAGTCAAGGCCGTCCCAACCCAGGGAGAGGCAGTCTTTCCATGCTCCTCCCTGTGCTCTCCGAAGATGACCAGAAACAAGCACGCAAAATGAACAAAGGGACTACACATTAATCAGCTCTCACTGGCTCCTCCGACTGCAGAGACAGGATTACAGACCCAGGATTTGCGAGAGACCTGCATTCCTCATTAATCTCCACTATCATTTCTATCACTGTGTGGTTTTTTAAAGCTCCCTTTTTAGTAGGGAACGAGGGAGAGCTATGTTCTTTCTTCACTCAGCAGTAACTAAAAAATATGTCCTTAACATTTCAAAAAGCAGATCATCTCTGCTACAACCACTAAAGTGTGGAGGTGAAGCGGCACAAATGTCCTTCATGTCTCCAGCTGTCTAACGAATTTAAGCCCAGATAACCTCAACCATGGTCCCTTTTGAGACCATGAGTCTGATAATCCTGAAAAACTCCAGGCCTAAGGATTCAGGTCCTTTGTCTTGCTCTTGCTTTTGTGTGGTGTGTTCTGACTGTCAGCAACAGGCGGCGAATGGCCTCTAAACTGTCCTCATGTGCCTCTGCTCTCTGGCCATCTGGAGCGGGAGACTGCAGAGACAACAGGTCCTGGCATCTTCCTGCCAGGTTCACTCCATGGGTCAGTGCTATACTGTGATCAAAAAGCAGCGGGCGCTTTTCTCCTCCTCTTTCCAGCTACGCCTGGAAACTCCATTTAGGCAGAGGCTCTGTCAGTGCCATTTCTGCTCTGGGAGCCAGAGACGAGCGCTCCTGCTGCGACGGAAGGGACTCCACAAAGTGGGGTGGATGGAAGCATTCATACTGGCTGCTGACCACATTCCTCTTGGCAAATGGATCATGGTAGCGGCTTGTTGGCGAACCAGCACGGCCCCCAGCTCTGCTTTTCTCTAGCTAAATACCTGTTCGTGTTCTTCAAACTCCTGCCTGGCAGGAAGCTGAGCTTGGGGCTTGGAAAGGCAAGCTATCAAAGTGGGATTCCTGAGACACAACCCCAGGTCCACTTCTCAGGGTCTTGCTCTTACCTGGGTATGGCACTCTTCCTTTGGTGACCAGCTCTGTGAGTAAGATTCCAAAAGACCACACGTCAGACTTGATTGTGAACCTCCCATACAGGGCTGCTTCGGGGGCCGTCCACTTAATGGGGAACTTTGCACCTGCAGAGAGAAGAGCTGGTTATCTGTCAGGTAGCCATCCTGCACCGGTGTGGGGAGGGGAGGAAAAGCATGTGGGAGCCTGTTGTAGGGGAGCAAGAGGAGAGAGTAGGACACGAAAGAAGTGGATGACGAACAGTATGGGATTGAGATGTGTGGTGTGAGCCTGGCTCTGCGGCCTTAAGCAAACCAGTTTAATTTTAGTTCTTCCATCAAAGAACGGGACCTCAAAGTCCCTTAATACCTCATTGAAGGGGCGGCAGCACTGGCTTCTTGAACTTGAATCCACACCTACACAGTGTTGTAGGTTGGTCTGGAGTAGGTTTCCCGACTTGTGATTTAGGAAACTGATTTATGTATCGTTTCTTTGGTTTGGAAATAACCATACTTTAACAAACACACAGGGGACTAGACCATTACGCTCCTCTCAGGACTCCGTGGGCATATAATGTGTAGTTTGTTCTTATGAGTTGCACAAAACCCATCACACTAGGGTGGGGACAGCGGGATGCAGCCGTGAGTTATGCTGACATGGGCTGTATTTCCCGAGGCCTCTCACACACAGAGAAATGACTTTGCTCTGCGCTCCCCTCCTTCCGCTCTCCTCCCCTCCCCTCTCCTCCTTGGAGTGGCCATCGTTGCTCCCTTTTCTTCTGCACCTGTGATCCCTTCCTACCTCCCTACCTTTCTCCTACCAGTCAGAGAGGAAACCATTTAATGTTTGTTCTTTAAAGAGCGGTCTTCCCTCGATGACTCTCTGACTTCTCAACACCAAGGAACAAGTTCATGCTCAAGTCAGTGAGATCACTTCTTTTGAATTTCTCTGATCATTAAAGGCATCCTGTTTCTAAACCAATGGGAAGGGGGGGTCCACCCTGCTCTCTGCCATGCTAAATGTGCACAGGGAATGAAAATGAACTCGGTAGCTTATATTCGCACACATTGGGCTCGGCATTTATAAAACAGCTCCACACATTTCACTGAACAGCCTAAAAGAAAAACAAGAAATTTCTATTGCTTACGTAAATACAATTACATCTTTAAAGCACATTAATTATGCTTAGAAGTTCTTAAAAATCATACATAGGCTGACAAAACACAAATTTTCATGGTATTTTCTATGAAAAGTCACTATGCACAAAAGCAGCAAGTGATTAAAACCTTTAAATTAGCAAGGTTTTAATAACCAGTCATATGATAAATTACAGCAATTAGAGCTTTGTTTTAAATACAGTACATGATAACAACGTTAGCACATTCACCCTGACATTTTCTGGCAGTATAATTTTCCTCTCCATCTCTTCTATGCCAGTATGAAATGAAATTTTAAAAAATCCTATTTCATTATGTACAGTCTTACATTAACATTAGAGTAGGAAAGTTATTCCATAGTTTTCTTCTATTTTTATACATTCAGTTATTTTTAATTGGCTATATTTTTGAGGCATAATTATTTACATCTTCCCTTAAGTGCCAATGATTGCACACAAGCCCTGGTATTCTCTGAACATTCCTTTTATTTTAATGTTTCTTTTAAAGGAGTCTTCTTATACTTCTGGTCCCTGAGCATTATGAACAGACTGAGTCACTGGGATTAACGTGATAGATTTTCTTCAATGTCAAGAGCAGACTTTGCCCTGGACCAGATCTTAGCGAGAGCTCTCCTACCTCAGAGAGTTAAAGGTATATTACATTAATTCCTTTTAAAATCATGTCTCATACCAAATGGCTTGGAAATCTCTGACCAACTCTGAAGCACATGGGATATTTTTCTCTGTTAGACAGACAATTTTTTTTTTTTGTACACAGGAATCGAACTCAGGACCTTGTGCTTGCGAGGCAGGTGCTTGTGCTGCTGAGCTATGTCCCCAGCCCATGGCAGACAAATCTTGTAAACATGACCAACACAAGGAGCCTTTCTTTCTTTCTCTGACTTATGCAACATTGGTGAAGGTATGTGAGCTGCTGAGAGCAAATGATTTAAAATTTGGGTAAAGTTATTTTGGATTTTCGAGAGAAGAGCTCGTAATTTCATGCTGAAGAAAAAAACCCACCTCAATAGATCAGCCAGTTGCACTAGTCTGCTTTATTATTTTCTCATTTTATAATCCACAATAAGAAAAATAATATGTAAATTTTCAAAGAAAGTTTAAAATAGACTGCATAATGTAATGAATAATCGATAATTTCCTTTGTTAGGAAACTATTTGTAGATATACACTTTGACATATTAGTAGGAGCTTACTTAAATTTATTTTTCCACTAGCCTTTTTTTGTGAAAGCAAAAATTTTTATCCTGATTCATTTTACAACGTACAGCTCAACAGAATGCCAGTTTTAATGGCAAAAATTTGGTTCCACTGAAACTCCATAATGCTCCAGAGAGCTATTGCTTTCTCCAGGAAGTAGGAAAACAGCCGGGAAGGGGGCTTTCTAGCCTTCTTACTTTTAAGAAAAGCAATACTTCTGTACCAAGGATGTATTTTAACAACGTATTTAGAATGTATCTAACGGGATACAAAGTATCTAAAGCCTTTGTCCAACTGTTCCTACTTCCTTCCTTTTAAAACAGCAGACACTTTTGATAAAACTAAATTTCTCTAAAGACAACTCCTATTTTCCTTTTCAAGGAAGACAAAAGGTTAAACTCAAATAATGATAAATAGCTAAGGGAGGTTCTGACTAGAAAGAACTAATGGGCCCACTCTTCTACTCCTCTTATGATCTTCGTTTCCTACCTCCCGAGGGCACACAGCCATTGGCCCCCAGGGGTCTTTACAAATGGCCACACAGGCTGCCAACGGGTGGCCTCTCCTTTGCAAGTTGTCTTTTGCAAGGTTATCTCCTCTCCTTTTGAATGACAGTCTGAATTGCAAAGAGAAGCCATGCCTAAATGTCTAAGATATTAACTGATAGCCTTTCTTTAGATTTATGGAAGCCAGAACGCCTGGTCACCTTCAAGTTACACCAGAATGTGGACGCCTTTCCTTTCATTCTTTAGGTCTGCGCATCTACTAACACAAAGTTACTGAGCTTTAACTTGCAGAGGAGTAATGTCTGCCTGAGGACTCTGGGAGCTAGCGCAGGAGGCCGTGGTCCATGGCGATGTGCTGGACAGAGGCAGAGAAGATCCACAGCCTGGATGGAGAGACCCCACTCACCACAAGCCCTTCTTGCCTATCATCAGCTGCTCCTTCTCTCCCATCCATAAAAACCCTTTGTGCCCCTGGATTTCCTGAAATAAGGCTGTGAGACAATACCTTTCCCCTCATCTTCTCAGAAGGCCAGTCCTTAAGTAAAACTCATTTCCTTCCTACCAACTCTTTTTTCCTGAGTAGAGGCTTCCAAGCAGTGAGCAGCTGGACCCAGGCCCAGTAACAGTTGCACAGTGTAACACCCTGTCTGTGAGAACAGTGTCATTGAAGTTGTCCAGCACATGACCAGCAGAGTCCCAAAGGTGGCCCTGGGGGGGTTGCAATGGGTTCTTTCTTCAGGTCATGTTCCTGGAAGAAAGCAACTCCTACGCATAAAGACTGCCTTTTGCTTGAAAGTAAAGTTTTGCCCCTGAGCTTTTTTTTTTTTCCAAAGATGCAATGGCAGGCCAAAGTCAGGATCAGAGTTATTTTCTAAGCAGTATGGAAAAAATGTCTCGAAAATTACACTGTAATTAACTAGGTATTGTCACCTAACTAGCGGATTCACTCTTTGAGGTTCTTCTTTTTGGGAGCAGTATTCACGCGGCCAACACAGATCTCTCTCCTTTGCACTGTGCTGGAGGAAAAGCAGTGATAACTGATGTCACTGATATTTTGAGACCGGGAGGACCCTAACACCCAGCATACTTGCTCAGTGTTTATAGGAATTATTAAAAGAGGAATTATCATTATATTTTTCCTTTTGTACTACATTAAATGGTTAAATATTCTCTTAAGTCAGTCACGTATGCATGGACTTAGAAGTATCTTTTCCACTGAACTGTTTTCTAAGTAGCATCTGCAAATTCTACCAAGTCATTGCCCAAACCTTGCTATGGTACTGTCACTGGGAAACTGCCACCAGGTAAGAGCGTCTTGGTATTTTAGTTATTTAACTCTTTGGAATGGCAGATGAGACCTGTTCATCCTTGGCTGGTCACCTCATGTGGTAAGTAAACACATCAGCATTTTAAATAATTTCTTATGTACATATGAATTCCACTTCTCTAAATTCTGTTGAAATGTGAAAGGAGTGGCAACAAACTCTGTGTCTTCAGTGACTACCCTGACCCCAGCGATACTGGCATTTGTATCACCAGAGGGGACCTCTCCCTCGAGCTCCTGTCTCACAATGGATTTCCTCCTTGGTAGCTCCCCTGGGAAGCCTCAAAGGACCCCTCACACACAACGCAATTTATCTTCCCCACAATCTGGCTTTTCATCAAGCTTTGCTGCTGGTAATGGTGTCAGAATCCCGAGACTCAGCCTTGTCCAGAAGCGCTGCCTGCGCTTTCATCCCTGTACACTCAGACGCCAGCACGACGCCTGCCTGAGATGGGTGAACCTGCACTGAACCACCTTTGGCTCCGTCTGCTTTCTCTCTCCATATGGAGCACCTCATTAAACCTTGCCCGTGTCCTACTTTTGAACGTGTCCTTCTTATCTCTGTCACCCTCACTCTAGTCTTTACTTGCTCCTTGTCCCCCGCTGGGATGGGACCTCTGTACTATCTGTCCATTTGGATCTATAACCTGGCCCCTGCTACTTCTCTGGCCTCTTCTTATCCAAGAAATTCTCTCTTCTGTACCCCTTTTTATCCCCCGACCTCTGGCTGCCTGTGACTGTTCTGTAAGTGCAAACTGCCCCCCGCTCCAGGTCTGCGGGACAGGCAGTACCCCTTGTCAACAGGCTCCACCCCCCTCCACCTTGTGGCGAATTCCTGGCCTTCCTTTGCCCTTGACCTAAGTATTACCTGCACAGGGCACTGTCCCTGCTCAATAAGACTAGTAGCTTTCCTAGCTCAATGCT